GGGCGGGGCCGCCGCGCGGGGACCCGGGGGCGGGAGCGAGGGGGCGGGGGCGGGAGGCGGGCGGCCGGGAGGAAGGAGGCCTCGCTGCGGGGCCACTGCCGCGCTGGGGCCGCCAGCTCCAGGACAAGAAAGCTGCCGCTTGTAGTTTTGCCTGGAGTGACCAGCTGATCACACCTTTTCCCTCTTTTCTTCTCTAAGGGGGGGGCTGAGGGATGCACCCACTCCCTTCTGTGGCAGACTTGTGTCTCCACGTGCCTCTTTGTGCCCACAGCTGTAGCATGATTTTAACGTACAGCTTAGTTGCCTGCTTGCGCCTGAACTCAATTTCCCAGGACTGGAAAGACTCACAGATGCTCTGCTGGCATGAGTCTCACACATCTGTACCTCTTGGCCACCTGTCACGTGCCGGGTGCCAGGGACCCAGCATGAACCTGACACTGTTACCCTTAGAACGTCAGTTTCTGGTCGGGGAGAGGCATGAAGGAGATAAACAAGGGGACACAGATAATCCCCCATAGGGTGTCAGAAGAGAATTCACCTAGGGCTACAGGGTAAAGGCTGGGAGCTGGGGAAACGTTAGTCACTTCTTTGGTCAGGTGGGGCTTCTCTGGGAAGGTGACATTTGGGCACACCTGGAGGGGGGAGAGTGCCAGCAGGGGTCCCGAAGCAGAGACCAGAAGGGACTCAGGATGTTGGAGGTGGAGGGCGAGCAAAGAGGGCAGTGCAGTTGGTGAGGTTAGCAGGTAACACATACACCAGGATGCTTGTTAAAAACACAGATTCCCAGGCCCCTCCCTGAAGCTTCTGATGCCAAAGCTGGAGTAGACGCTCAGGAATGTATGTTTTTAAAAAAACACCCAAGATGAATGTTATGAACAGGTACATTTGGGGAACACTACATAAGAACCCAGTACCACCCCCCAAATAAGACACTTCCAGGGGTCTCTGACTTCTTAGTTGAAGTCAGAAAACAGACTCACAGAGGCAGAAATGAAGATTAGGACCATGGTCTTCAACCCTTAGAGAGTGTGAGAATCACCTGGGACAGTTTTTAAAATGCCTATGCTCGGGCTTTAATCCTGCACCACAGAACCATAACGTCCAAAGGTATTCTTTTTAATGACTTTCAGTGAATGTCGAGTGCAGCCAGTGTTGAGAATCACTGGATCGGGAGATTAGGTGGGAGAGGTTCTAGGATTCCTGGAGAACCACAGCCTGACCTCAAGTGGGGACTAACTCAAATCCTTTGCTGTGTGCCAGGAACAATGGAAAATGTGCAGTCTTCAGGAAGAACCATTTCTTCCCAGCTATCAATCGTCATTCATAGCATGAAGATTTACTGAGCACCTGCTGGGCACCTGGCGCCGCTATACATCTTGGAGACGCAGCCGTCTGCTGGATATCACCTCCCCCCTCACTCCTGGATGCAGGCAGGCACCGCATTGAAGAGGGCTCTCCAAATTGCACTTCAACCCGTGGTTTTAACCCAGCTACCTATCAGACTCGTTTGGAGAGCTGTTTAAAAAGTCAATGGCTGGGCCCCACCAGAGACTAGTTAGAATCAGAATGTCGGAGGGGAGGCCTGAGTATTTCGTAAAACTCTCCAGATGCTTCCAGTGTGTTGGTCAGAGGTGAGAAGCACTAATTTAGACTCCAACTCCATCTCTGGGGCCTGGGCCTGGCTCAGGACTCACTGACTTTCAGAGTCTCAGGAAGAACTTTCTGATTGTCAGAGCATAAAGAAATTCTCTTCTCTGTGTCCAGACCGCAAGCACAGCTATAGTGGATGTATCAACCTTAGGGGCACTCACACCTTAGCAGTAGCTGATAAATTTAGGTGGAGGAGGGGAGGGGAGGACCCAGATTAGGACACTTACAGCCAGGTATCCAGGAGATGGATTCTCTCTGGTCCTTATGACAGGACCCTGAGTCCAGATCCTGCAATTTGGTCATGGATAAACAAAGGAATAAGTCCGCTCCAGAAAAGGAGAAAGGCTTATGCTACAGTCACATGTTCTTGCTCACCCCCGTGATGAGTAAATGCCTCTAATCCAGTGGACATCTGTTGGTTTGCCTTCCCAGAGTCACTCCACCCTTCTTCTGACAACAGCATCCCAACACATTCCTTTAGGAAACTGCTCTAGACACAATCTTGGTAGAACTATCAACCCCGTTGTCCCACCCTCCCCTGGCAAAGAAGTGGACCAATGACCCAGGTTTGGCCAATCTAGGAATTCTGTCTCCACTAGCTTATGAGATCCCCTAAGGCAGGGGTCGTGACTGCCTCGTTCACACACAGCTTTATGTCCAGTGGATGTGGGGTTGGATGGATGCATAGATAGAAAAAGAGAATGGAATTCCTGTGCATCTAAGACTCTTAAATTACATATTTACTGGACCCCCTCTCTGAGGTTTGCTCTGGCCACCCAATTAGAGCAAGAACCCAAATATTTACTCCCAACCAACATCTTTTTGAGATACCCAGTAAGAGGCGATAATAGAGGGAACTAATCAAGTGCTCTAAACTTCAGCCTTAGGAAAGATGGTTCAGGACTTTCTAAATAAGAGTCTAACTGCCTTAGTTGTGCCTCTGAACAGTGGATATATTTTAAAAAATTCAAGGATTTGGAATCTGCACCAAAACAATCAGAGCTCTTTAAAGGGAAGCAGTTCAGACTAGGCCCTGATACTTAACAGAGTTTCCACTGGCCTAGTGGGAAGCGAGAAGGTTTTCCTCTCTAAGGGCCACTTTGAAGGGTGGGTGTTCAGGCTGGGGAAAGACATATTTTCAATTACAAAATAAATAATTTGTGCTCTTAGGAGCAAGGGCAAGGAGCAGAATGCATGACCTTTATGCATTCAGAGGCCATCACGGGGGGTGTGGAGGGGAGATGGAGGTCCTGACAGGGCAGTTCCATCAACCTTCTCTCTGACCCATGGCTGACCTCCTTGCGGAGGCCCTGGACTTTCAGTGCTTCTCCAGCTTCTCCAGCAAAAGTGCAAGTGGAAGATCGTGAAGCCCCTGAGAGTTAGAAAGTTCTAGAATACATTGATACTGTTTCACCCTAGCCCAGGAGTTCAGTTTAATTCAACAAGCATTTGCTGTAACATATAATTACAAATTGAGGTAAGTGCCAGGAAAGGAAAGAAGGTGCTACAGAATTTGTATCAAGGAAACATAATGCAGACAGCAAGTTCAGGGAAGGCTTCCCTGGGGAGGTGACGTTTAAGCTGAGACCAGAAGTTGTAGGGAAGTTAGCCAGGGAATAGTGAGGGAAAGAACTACCAGTTGATTCTTGGGGAAAGTGTGTGCAAAGGCCCTGAGGCAGGAGAAATTAGGAAGTGTTGGAGGAACCAAAAGAAGACTAGAGGGGCAGGTGCTCAGAAACAAACAAGAAGAAGGTGTAAGGTAAGGCTGGGAGGCAAGTTGGGCCCCAGGGACCATGTGCAGAATTTTGGACCTAAGAGCAATGGGGAACAACTGAAGCGTATCAGGAAATGCATGGCACGGTCATACTTGAGTATTTAAACAATTGCTCTGGGTTCTGTGTGGAGAAGAAACTATAAAGTGCAAGGGTTGAAACAGGAAGACCAATTTAGAAAGTGCTTGTAGCCATCCAGGCCATAGATAATGGGAGCTTGGACTGGAGTGATGGCCACGGAGCTAGGAAAGAGTGGAAGCATACCAAAGACACAGAGGCATATGGTCACCCTTTGGTCTGCCCTTGAGTTCCTTCTTTTCCTCTTCCTCCTAAAATGCAGCATAAATTGATTTCCACCTGAATACAAATATCCAAAGAATGCTGGTCCCTGGAGATCCCCACTACCCTGAGTGGCTCTGAGCCCCCAGACCCCTTCAAGTTGGCCCTGGAGGGACCTCTGCCCTCTGTCTCACCTTCTGGTATAAAGCTCATTTTTATCTGCAGCCCAGACCTCTCCCCTGAAATCTGGCTTCATATATCCAACTGTCAGGCACCATCTCCATTTGTGTATCCACTAGACATCTCAAAGCGAATGTGTCCAAACCAAACCCTGTTATACTCTGAAAACACTTGTCTCCCCCTGTTCTGAACTCCAATATTGCCCTTGTGTCCACACAGCTCACCAGCCAAAACCCAAGCAGCAGTCCTTGATTTCTCTCCTTTCTCACACCCACATGCAAGCCCGCGGAAGATCTAGGCATCTCTATCCTCAAAACGTAACCCAGATCCAACCATTTCTCACCAACCAACTTCACTGTTCTGCCTCCCACCCCCCAAATTCTAGCTCCACCATCTCTCACTGGGACGCCTGCAGTAGCCTCCCCCTGGTCTTGCTATTCACACTCCGCCTTTACACAGAACAGTCAAAGGGATCCTTTCAAAATATAGATCTGATAAACCTTCCAGTGGCTTCCCATTAAGTTTGGAATGAAATACAAACACCTTGGTCCACAGGCCCTAGATAAGCTGTCCCCTTTCCTAGCTCTGGGTGTCATCTCCTGCCATTCTCCCTTCCCTTCATCTCCCTTCCCTGTCACCCTGATCATCCATCTGTTCCTTGTTAATGCCAAGCACAACCTTACCTCAGGGCCTTTGCACCTACTGTTTCCTCACTTTGTTCATTCCTCAGCTTAAATGTCACCTCCTCAGAGAGACCTCTTATTACCATCCCAATAAAAATAGCATCTCCTGGCATTCTCTCTCCCCACATCCTGCTCTATGTTCCTCATAGCCCTTATGTCCAGGTATTTTTACTCATCAGTATATTTGTTCATCCGTTTATTGCCTGGTCCTCTCACTTGAATGTAAGCTTCACAAGGGCTTATTCTCTGCTATATCTAGGGTTGTCAGATTTAGCAAATAAAACTATAGGATACCCAGTTATATTTGCATTTTAGACTAATAATGCGTTTTTAGTGTAAGTATGTCTTGAATGTTGTATGGGACATATTTAAACTGAAAAATGATTCATT